TTACAGACCTGTGCCATGGGGCTTGGCTTTCTCATTTCTGGAAAGCACTAAGGAAAACAGTAAAAAGATTTAACTTGTAATTTGGAGTAGCTTGCTGCCTGGCTATTGCTGACGGGAACTTCATGGCAAGGAGTGGTTGTTCCTTGTGTTGTCCCAGCCAGAGAGAAAGCAGTTTGGTCTGTACTGGACACATGTGATACCTCCATCAGCAGAGGCAGAGCTGGCTGGTCCCCAGGAAGTTCTGCTCAGCTGTCAGTACACCTCAGTCTTTAGGAGGGGTGTCTCAGCACTTGCTTATGGAAATCCCATTCCTGCATCATTGATTAAAAGTCATTTTAACCCTGAGAAGAAAGGCATTTCTTTCTGGAGCAGGTTTTTAAGATGATCATAGATTTGGCTGGAACTGCCTCATGTTAGGATTCAGGCATTTTGCTGGCCTGCCACCTGTCACCTGTCAGGGTGTACTCAGACAGTATCCTGGCCAGCCCAAGGTCCTATGGCTGCTTCATCACTACGTAGCCTTCATGCAGGTGCAAAAGTCCCTTTAAGAGGCAAACTCTGCCCGCTTCAGATCTGTCTTTCCTGCTATTCTTCTGAAGGAGCAGACAGGACTTCCTGTCTCTCTCTGTCTCTCTCCCTTTCTTCCTTCCCTTTCCTCCAATAAAACTTCCCACTTAAATACTGTCTGCCTGGCATGTTTGACCCTTGTCCGGCATGGGATCTGCCGGTCCCACCTTGTGCCATATTTATAATACCATATCTAACTTTATTTATTTTAAAAAAAAAAAAAAGGGGGGGGTAATTTCTTGTTCCTCACTTCGGGTCTTCCTTTCTTTCCTTCTTTAATTCCTGTGGACATCTATACCCTGGATGGCTCCCTTCTTCCCATTTTATCCAACAGCCCCTTGCTCACTCACTTCTCTGCCTGCGAAGAGTATTAAAACAGAATATGTATCCTTTAAGACTCAAAGCATCTTCTTCCCTGGGGATTCCTTGCTCCTCCCCCAAAGCGCTGGCTGTGATTTCACTCCCCAGCCACTTTTTGGGTAGACCTTTCAGCTTTTTTCTTCTTTTCTAAGCCCCGTCTTACGTCTCAGGTGGCTGCTAACCCCCCCTTTTCCCTGACGTACACCTGCCTTGAGGGTGTAGACTGAGTCTTACTACTGTGTTCTGAGAAAGGTAGTACCAGGCTTTGCGTAATGCTAGACACTAGCTGAACACATTCAAAACAGAATGAAGAATGACATGGCAGAGGCAAAGGTGGGGACAGTCATCCCGCAGAGTGGGGGTAGTGCAGTCCCACGGAGTCTCTGAGCATAGACCAGTATTCCCTAGAAACGAGGAGTGCATGTCTGTGGCGTTTGTGCCAGGCCAAAGTCTTTGTTTCACATGCGCTGGATCTCTCCAGATGTTGAACTCAGCTGGCAGGCTTCATCTACCAACAGGCGGTTACTGGGGGAATGGCCACACTTGCCAAACCCTCTGCCTTGGCCAGGCTAAGTTGAGAACCGGAGAGCAGCTGCTATCCCAGGCATACAAAAGCTGCCCATGCCAACTGCAGGGGCCACTTCTACGTTGCAATCTTTCCTTTTCTGAGGACTCAGGGGTGTCAGGGGAAATCCAGAAACCAGACAGCTGCTCCCCGCCTGGGTGTGGGATGGGCCTTTCTTGTGCTTTTATAACGCTCATCTATCACCAGCAGCTTGCAGGGGAGCCAAGCCCAGCTCAGGAATGTATCCATCCCAAAGCAGGTTCACAGTCAAATGAGATCTCATTTAATAGTAAAAGAAAAAGCCCTGGCCAGTCCCCCAGCACTACTAGATCCTGAAAATCAGAATGTCCTCCTGGGCTAGGGTCACATAGGAACTGCAGGGTGGCTCCTGGCTCACCTGACCTCTAGGACCAGGAACCCTGCTGACTGCTGGAGCAAACCACGCCCCAGAGACCAAAGGTCTGGCTTTGAATGGGCTGATGCCCTGGCTTTGGGAATTCTGGAGGAATTTGTGGCCAGGACAATAGGTGGGATAGAACCACACACTGGGGAAGATGTTCCCAGGGAGTAGTGATCAGGAAGTCAGGGAAGGGGAAAACAGAATATAGGAGTGTTGGATGACTCCAAGGAAACAGCATCTTCCAGACACAGCAGGACTGATGCACACATGAATCCAGAGTCCTTGGTGACAGGCACAGGTCCAAGGCACACAGACATGGGCTCTCCCACTCTTGATCAAGAACTATCTGCGATTAAAACCTGCTGGCAAAGGAAACAATCCATTTTCTCCGGTGAAGTGTCATTGGGGGTACTAACCACACACTGCAGGGCAGGCCCCATCCTCAGAAGTTGGCCAACATAAAATGAACTCAATGGTATTTTTGTAAACTTTTGGGTTTAATCTTGCTTTGTTTGGACATGTTCGTTTTGTTGGTCTTTTGCTTATTTTGACTTTTGTTTTTGTGGTTTTATGGGTGTATTTAATTTCCCCCCTTTATGATAGAGAACAAAGTTGTGTGGGTATTGGAAGTGAGAAGAGATAGATCTGAGAGGGATTGAGGGAGGGAAAAACCTGATCAAATAAATTACATACATATTTTTTTCCTAAAAAATGTCCCCCCCCCAAAAAAAAAAGCTAAGCAGAAATGTAGAGTTGTTGAGGGTGGTGGGACACACACCCTGGAGCTTAACTCCATCCTGCTGTGCTACCATTGGCCTGCCAGTAAGCACTAGCTGGATACATCAGTGCCCTCATTTGCAAAGCTGGGAAGCAAATGATCACTCACTGCAGTCTGTGGTTTGTCTTTCCTGCTTTGGACACTGAAGTGAGTGCCAGAAGATGAAGGTAACAACCTTCAAGCTGCTGTCTTGGTAGAGTTAGTTTTGAGTGGTTTTCTGTTCTTGCATCAAGAGGTATGCTGAGGTTATGGGCAGAGTTCTCTGGGCATATATCAAGAATGTGGGCTACAATACAGTCACGTTTGAATCCAATTCACAGTAATGTGGCCTTATGATAAAGCACTTCTCAATTTTGTCTTACTCATTATTGCAGTACAGGGACAGAATACAAGACTGTGTGCTTGCTAGGCCACTTTGGATTTTGTTGTTTAAGATGGGCTCTTGCTATATAGCCCAAGCTTATACTAGCACCCAACATTAACAATTTTGAGCCCATTTCGTCACTCACTGGAAAGCTTGCTTAGCTTTCCATCATTCCATCACCCACACTTACCGTCTCTGCCTTGACCCTAGCAAGTTGCTGGGGACTAGGGGGAAGAGTATAGACTGGGCCTAGAATATACTCCATAGATACTTTGTTGCTATCTTTTGTGTTTGACTGTTACTGCTCTACCACACCAAAGTTCCTGCTTTCTTTTGTGCCTGCTGAGTGACCTGACCTCCATTATCAGCTTCTTGGGCAACAGGAATGGTCCCATCTACCTACCTACCAATCTCACTATGTCTCTCTGGCTGGCCTGGAATTTGCTATGGAGGCCAGGATGGCCTCAAACTCAGGTCTGTGTGCACCACCACTCCCAGCTACCCTCATTTTAAATCAGTCCTCACTGCCTTCTTCCCTAAACTTTTTTTGTGGTGTTAGGGTTCAAGCTTCTGGGGCTTTGAGGATGCCAGGCTAGCAAGTGCTGTTTCATTAAATTATATACCCTCCCCCCCCCTTTTAAAACTGGCAGGGTCTCACTGCATAGCCCGGGCTGGCCTTCAACGCCCAATCTTGCCTCTGCAGGGCAGTATTAAGGTATATAACACACTCCTGGTATTTCAGCAGTTTTCTTCTGCACTGCCAGCAGATCTGTGCACTCCTGAGATGTCTATTTTCCCCGACATGTAGTCAACACTGTTGGGTCTGTGTTTTTTTTACAAGTGCCTCATGGATTTGCCAATTTCTCTCTATCCCAATAGTCATCTCCCCAGCTCAGCAGTTAGACTTGTTTCCCAACTCCAAACTTTAGATCCTGCCAAGACCTACAAGGGGATTTCTGTGCTTGTAGGATGTGCAACATCCCTAGTGGGCTGCTGAGGCTCCCATTCTCCGTATTGCCTCCTTGTGGTCCAAGTCACTGTCTCCTCAAGTTCAGGAGCATCTTCTTTCTTAACGCTGCATGTGCACATGGCTTCCTTTGTGCCCACACAGCCTGTCCAGGATCATGTCTAGTCTCCTTCACACAGCTTAGCTGTATTTCAGTTTGAAGGCTTCCTCCAAGTGCCCCATCGCACCTTCTTGTAGGTTCTAGTTTATATCAATCATGCACACTTTTCGTTGTCTACTCTCATGGCCCAAATGACATTCTACACTGGCTCCAACAATATCCGGCTCAAATGTTCAACCCCCACTTAAGCACAGTGGTGCTTTCCTGAGAGGAAAGATAATCAAGAGACAATAGGTTTCCACTGATGATAGCTAGTGGTCCTTCTCCTAGGGTCACCTTCGTTTGCACTAACTGCAGGAGACTGTGTACCCCACGAGGCTGCCTCATCCAGTCAACCACCAAACTGTTGTTTTATGTTCTTAATGAGTAGTTTATGAATCTGTCCAGTTTCCTTAACCCTGTGCCAGGCAACATCTCTTCATGAGCTCTTGTGTGTGTATACATGTAGAAGCCAAGTATACATGTAGAAGCCAAAGGATGACATCAAGTGTCTTCCTATATTTCTGTCCACTTTATTTTGGGGGACAGTCTGACTGAACCTGGAGCTCACTTAGACTGGCTGGCCAGCAAGCTCCCTCATTTCAGGGCTATAGGAACACACCACCATGTTCAGCTTTTTATGTGGATGCTGGGGATCTGAACTCAGATCCTCATGCTTAACACTTTACCAAGTGATCTCTCCTCTCCTCCCTTTTGTGGTACTGGAGATTGAACCTAGGGCTTCATACATGCCAGGCAAGAGCTCAAACATTACGCCAGAGATTCACTCCCTATACCTACTCTTTTCAGTCATCTAGAGTTCTATAAAAGCTTTTGGAAAAGACTACATCTTCCAAAACTGCCTTCATAAGAACTTTTATTATTATTTAGAAATGCAGTTATATACATAGAACAATTAAAATTAAATTAAACTTTGTACAAATATTAAAATACTATCTTCATACCCACTGCAATGTACAGGATACCAAAAAATATATATAAAAAATAAAATAAAGCAAACCCAGATTGATTGACATCCTGCACAGTCGATTATGCATGTGTTGTTTTAAACCATTATATGAGTACCATTCTGCAAAGGATCCCATAGTGGTGCACATCCTTAAGAAGCCAGGCCAGTGTGCATACAGCCATGCAGCCCACAGCCATCTCCACTCCCTACTTGGCAATCTAAGCGCTCTTTCCCCACATCTCCCCTGGTAAACTCTGCTATTGGGAGAGGGTCTTTTTTTTTTGGGGGGGGGAGGCTTTTAGTTCAAAACTCTACTAGGTTTTCAGCTGGAAATTCAGTCCCATCTCAGAAAAACTGGCCCCACCACTTTTGGCTTTCCAGGGAACCAGCTGCCACATCACTCAGCCTAAACATCTGCCAAGAAAATATTCTCTAAAGGCTGCAGAAGACCTAGCAGGCCCCACAAGGAGAGGCTCCAGCCATACTGTCAGGCACAAGGTACCTGGAATTAAGCTGTGTAGTAGGCTGGCTATGTGTGTTCCTTTTAGCCCCTCTTTGCTATTGAGGAGGAGGAAGGGAACAAGGATCTAGAAATGTCTGCAGCATATTCCACTTTCTATTCTGGAATGTTCCTCAGAAACAGAGGAGACATTGTTATGTAGGAAGCCAAGTGTTTCAGGAGCTCTGATAGGATTGGGAGGAAAAAGGCGCCATCTATCCCCATTCAGCCACTCACAAAGCAGGAAAAGTATACCTTTGTCTTGTAGTCTGGCTTCTCTATAGAACTGTAAAGCTGGGAGTTGGGGAGGAGGGCAAGATGAATGGGGAAGACTTTAAATTCTTTTGCAAATGGAGTGCTTGTAGAATGTACATTGAAATGCCTTATAAAAGCAAACAAATCCACAAAGTGGTCAGGACTCCACCCATTTCACGGTTCTCACTCAGTGAAACAGGAACACAGAAACGGCACACAAAATACAGAACTGGGCAGATAGAGCCTACCTGTTAAACTAAGGCATGGAGGGACGGAATTTTCAGTTTTATTTATTTCACCATTCTGGCCCTTGAAAATTGATAAGACTGTCACCAGGATATAAAACCTGCATTGAGACAGAACAAAAATATCTCCCAAATCAAAACCAACCAAGCAAAGCTCGGTGTAAAAGTCCTCTGGTGCTGACTGTCGTCTGGACAAGTCTGCAGGATGCCCCCAGAGGTGAGCCCAGCAAAGCAGGCTGCACAGCTCCTTCCACTCGCTCTAAGCATCTTCTTGCCCAACAGCCTTGCACCTGCCACTGACCCTGCTTCTAGCCGGGCTCCACCTGCTCCACCTCAAGGCAATTTAAGTCCCCCCTATCCTTCTGTAAGGGACAAGGTCCAGATGCCCCCAAAGCCACAGAACATGGCTGAGGGTTAAGAAATTGCTTTAGAAGAAAGAGAAACATAGGAAGAAGTGGCAGATGCCAGCAGCAGTAGGTGGGAACTCCAAGAACAGATCTCAAAACTAGTGACAGGAGGATGGGGACATGGCCCTTTTGTCCTCCGGTTAGATGAGCCTGGGCTTGTGATCCCCAGAGAGCAGGTTAATGGGTGGGGAGAGGGAAGGTGGCTCCAGGAGGTTCTTTTACCCAAGGGTCAAGCCAGTCACCTATGTGGCTAAATAACTCCAAAACAAAAAGTGCAATCTGTTAAGGGGCAAAAACCCAGAGTAAAGACACAAAAAAGGGAAAGATCTTCCATTTTTCTTTTAAAACCTCCTAGAGCAGAATTCAGATTTTTTTAGGACAGTAAGCAGAAGAGGAAGGCTCCTTCAGCAGACTCCTGCCCTCCACTTCACGTCTCTCTTGAGGAGGGTGGGCACCACTGAGGGTAAAGGACAGTCATTGTGCGGTGGCTTGGGGCCTTGGAGCCCCCCCCAGGTGGTATATGACAGCAATTGCTAAGAAGTGTGTACTGTCTCCATTTAGTCTTCTGTTCTAGCACCTCCTAGCCAACCACACTTCCCTGGACACTGGGCACAATAGACTGGCCTCCTGGATGGGGGGATGTGGGAGTGGCCAACAGGGAAGCAGGTACTGCCCTTACCCTGAGAGGAAAGGAGACGAGGGTGGCAGGAAGCCAGGCATGGCAGGGACTAAAGTGCTTTGTAAGTGGAGGCAGTGGGCTAGGGGACACCATTCCCCTATTTGAGGCCACTGATGCCTGGAGCTAACCTGTTAGGTCAGAAACTATAAATACACTGGGCTTATTTTCACCACCCCAGAGAGGCTCAGGGAAGGAATATCAGAGGTGCAGTCCAGAATTGGCTGACGTGTTCCAGCTTTGAGGCTGGAGGAAAAGAAAGAATGAAAGAGGGAGAAGCCTGGTTCAGCTACCCAGGCATTCAATGCCATAGGAGGGTTCAGCACAATGCCCGGAGTACCCCTTCAATGCCAGCACTTTCACGCTCCAGGGCCTACATCTCAGGCTTCTGGGTACCCACCAACTCACATCAGCTGGTAAAGCCGGGGTGTCCTTAGTTCTGGAGGAAAGACAGAGTGGCTTGTCAGCAATGACTGAAGAGCCTGGAGAAGAGAGCAGAGTAGGAGAAGCAGCGACACTGAGGCCATGTTCTGGGCATAGTTACTAAGGCACATGACTGTGGTGAGGAGGATCCTCGGGACCCGGCCCGAGCTGCCTGCAGCCACAGGGGACTTGGTCTGTACCTCTCAACCTCCCCTCCATCACCACAAACCTAGAAATGGGCAACTTGCCCAGACTGCCAAAACCCAAATGAGCTTTTGCTGGCATCTCAGCAAATCTCAGGGTTCTGTGGGCTGCAAGGAAGCCAGAGCTACCTAGGACGAAGTCCAGGAGACAGCATGCAACTTCCCCTTAGCCAGGAGTAAAACCAAGGCCAAAACAGCTGACGCTGGAAGCAGGAAGTGAGAACTTGCATATTAGGAAGACAATCGTTATCTGACAACCTTCTCCCCTCCCAATGGTCTTCTGGGTGCTTCCTGGAAACTTAACAGGTCCAGGACCCTGCATCCGAGCTGGACAGCCGAGTGATGGGCGGGTTTGGCATGACTTCCCAGTTAGGGAAGATGTCATCAGTGTCAACACACAGGGCAAGCTCAGAAACCCACATTCTGGCCCCAATAAGAGTCACTCCTGCTTTGAGGGCCTTACTGTTCAATCCGTTTCTGGTTTCTGCAGCTCCAGTCCCAGCCTGTGTACAGGTGGCAACAGCCACTAAGGCCTGTGGACAGCAACCCACCTGCATATCGGGGAACCTGGACAGGGTGGGGGAAGGCACAAGTAAACACAGCAGTACTCAGGCCCTCATGGCTGTGGGGCTGCCACCAGAGAGCTGGCTGGAAGGATCCCAGTGGTGGCTCCGGAAAGGGAGGGTTCAATCCAGCACATTCAGACATGTCCCTGACAGATGGGAAGGCTGGGCCAGGCAAAGAGCCAGGTCCTCCAGCTGTTCAGTGGGCAGATGGTGAGAATCTTCCTTGAGTATCCAGCGGGGTGGCCTGCAGGCCCTCAGGTACACACAGATACACAGGTGGCAGCTCAGGCATCCAGGTGGGGAAACTGGAGAGGACATGGTACTCAAACCCACAGGAGGAGAGAGGCCCGTGGCAGCCCTCACGCTTCCTTCAACAGCGGGATATCTGCAGGGGTGGGGCAGGGAGAACAGTAGTCACCGAAAGCTGTCTCTCAAAAGCACTCCCAATCGCTACCTCAGGAGCCCCCACAGCCCCCTTCAAAGAAATAAAATGTTCTGCGGCACACATCTACACTATTCAGAACTTCTTGCTCTCTCCCTCATCTCTCCAACTGCCTGTATGATAAAATCTCAATGCTGAGCCTGGCATTCAAACCCCTTCTGGTCCCACCAACCAACACAACCTTGTCTCCCTTCTCTGCTGGTCTACTTACTTTCAATTCTCCAATCCCGCTCTAGGAAGCCACAAAGTCCTCCCAGCATTTCTTTAAAGCCACCTGGACAAACCACATTGTTTCTCTGGGGTTTGGTCTTCTCATATGTCACTAGACAAGAGGTTAGACCCATGTGTCAAGCTCCTGACTTCCTAGGATATCAGTCTTCAGATGTCTTGCTTTCTGAATACCTCTCATTATTTCATTATTGTATTTTTAAACTTTATTGCTATCCATTTTTAACGTGTGTGCACACTGCAGGAAGTATGTGATGATGTGTATCTGTACCTGTGGGTCACAGAACTTTCAGGAGTCAGTTCTCATTCTACCACATGATGATCTACCAGATCATCAGGCTTGGCAGCCAGTGCTGGCCTTGTTTCTTAAAGATAGGGTCTATACAGTTCAAACTGACCTGGACTTGTGGTCCTCTTGTCTCAGTCTCTGAAATGCTAGGATTGCAGGCCTGAGGCACCATATCTAGCTAGCACTACAATTACTGGTTCCATGATGTCTCCAGTGCAGGCCCCATTGTCTTTCCAACTGATACTCTATGCAGCAGAGAGCATGTTTCCTGTCTGAGTCACACCTGAAACTTTATTTGGTACCAAACACAAACCTTTCAAAAAGGTCTGTTCAAGTCAGGTGTGATGACACCTACTTTCCATTCCAGCAGAATTACTTTTAATTGGAGGCAGAAGCAGGCCAATCTCTGTGGTTTTGAGGCCAGCATGGTCTACATAGTGAGTTTCAGGCCAGCCAAGACTACATAGTGAGACCCTGTCACTAAAAAAAAGAAAGCTTACTTAAGCTAGCCCATGGTAGACAGCTGTAATCAGCCACTTGGGAGGCTGAGACAGAAGGACAACGGTTTCTAAGGCAGCATGGAGTATGCAGAGAGGCCCTGTCTCTGAAAACAACAAAATAACAAACAAAAGCCAAACTAAAAACACAAGTAGCCATCAAATAAGAATAGGCAACCTCTTTGGCTCCTGAGGAAGGGCAAAGGATGCCAAGTGCTCTTAGCCACATCCAAACTGGGTCAGTTATTATAGGGCCCTTACCACCTTCCTCCAACAAAGAAAACAAGCTACCAATACATTTCTAAGTGTTAGGCATGGACTCTTTCCAGGATACCAGGATTTGTGAAGTTTCCTCTGGGGCTCTTTCAGAAAGGCGAAAGGAACAGTGAGCTTCTAGGTTTTGTCTTGAATCTAGAACTACACTGGGATTTCACCTATAGATATTCTTTACAGTGACAGATTTGAATTATAGTTAAAATCTCCAGCAAAGGCAGATTGTCAGTAAGTAGCCACTGTGCTCTATGGCCAGTCTGACACAAAGGAGCTAGTTGCCTGGGACTACATGGTGGCTCACAACCATCTATAATGAGATCTGGTGCCCTCTTCTGGACTGCAGGCATACATGCAGGTAGAACACTAGTATATCCATAATAAGTATTTTTAAAAATGCTGGTTTAGAGTCACAGTCATTTAGTTTTAAATCTCAGCTGTCAATTACCAGTGGATAAATGACAAGTGAAACCGAGTCCCATTTTATCCATTTGTAAAATGGGGACAGTCATACCTATCTACCAGCACAAGGAAACCAGCAATATACTTCGTGTCTTCTCTACTTCAGCCCAAGGTCTCCTTGCTATTTGTGCCTATCAGGAACACAAAACTTTAACAGCCTTATATATACCCTGAACCCTATAGCTGGTTTAGCGGAGTCTATGGCTGTGAATAGTAGTAGACTCGAGAACCATCACAATTCACAGGTAACAGTGAAGTCTCCCTACTGGAGCCCCAAGCTTTACCTGGCATTCTGAGGACCAAATCCTACTGCATAGGCTAATACTCTGGCTATTACCTTCTTTTGGGGTGTTGCGGGGTTGAGGGGTGAAAATACACTAATCATCAGAGTGACCCACAGGGCTTCATCATTCCCAGCAAGGATTCTAACAGTGAGCTATGTTTAGCAAAGACCGCTTACCATCTGTGTACTCCTCTGATGTGAGTGATAGAAGGCTTTGTATGTCACTGTTCTCCGAGTCTGCAGTGTCTTTGTGTGTCGGCTGGCTGCTCCCTGAGCCGGCCACCCAGGAAGATGTGGTTGCTTGGTGCACCATGACAGTCTCTGAGCCCTGGGAACCCCAGACTTCACACAGCCCAGAGTGGCCAGGGGCCTCATCCTCTCCACCTGCAGAGGAGCAGGCCCCCTGTCCCTGCAGCTGCTGCTCTCTTGGCATGCTCCTCCCACTAGGTGCAGACCCTTCGGACAGAACGATCTGTACTCTGGGGTCAGCTGGTGGCATGCAATGACCAGAACTGCCATACACAGCTTCCTCGTATGAAGGTAGTGCAACCTGGACCCCATCCACCATGATGGAGACTTGGTCCCCAGAAACCCCTTGATCACGCCTGGATCAGAAAAGAAAAAGACAAAGTAAGAATTTGAGTAACACAGAGGTGACTCAATAACATTGCACCAACAAATAACATCATTTTCCAGCACTTACTATATGCCAGCAAGCAGGAAGTACTTTAAGCATGCTGACTGGATCCTCACTTGAGCCCCTTCATTGAGGGATTCACCAAGAATGTAGGCTTGGGCCAGAGAGCTGGTAAAGGGTGGACTTGGGATTGAACCCCATTTTATATACGTCTAAAGACTGTGTTCTTGGGACTGGAGAGGGTGGCTCAATGGTTAATAGCACTGGCTACTCTTTCAAAAGACCTGGGTTTGATTGCCAGCATCCATATATCATACATAGACATACATGCAGACAAAATACTTATACATCTTGCTGGGCTTGGTAACGCACCCCTCTAATCCCAGCACTTGAGAGGCAGGTGCAGGAAGATCTCTATGAGTGTGAGGCCAGCTAGTCTACATAAATACATAAAACTCTAAATTTTAACACAAATGCAGGAAAGAACAAGTGACAAAGTCTACATACAGGCCTCTGCAGGGTCCAAAGTGGGACTGGGGTGCACGCCTGAGGTCAGGAACTGCAACCTAGACCCTCTGCGCCCGTCCCAGTTACTCCCACTCCCTCAATACCACAAGGGCCTCACCACCACTATCGTGGTTTACACGAAAACTGCTTTTTTTTTCTTTCTTTTTTTTAGACAGGGTATACACCACATCTAGCTGATTTTGTTTTATTTAAAGAGACATGTCTTGCTACTATTTAAGCTCAGACTAACCTTGAACTCAGGGCCTTTCTACCTCACGTTCCCAAGTGCTTAGGATTACAGGCATACAATACCAGGCCTGGAGCTTGCTCTGTAGACCATGCTGGCCTCAAACTCACAAGAGATCTGCCTGCCTCTGCCTCCCAAGTGCTGGGTTTAAAGGCATGGGTCACCCACAGACCAGCTTTTATTTTGTATTTTAATAGTTCAACTATACCACAAACTCTTCAACTGGTTTGGCTTTAGATTTATATGTTTAGATACACAACCCCTCTGGCTTCTTTGTAGTGAACATTGTGAGATTTATTTACACAGACACCTTTTCTGGGGATCATTCTTGTTATCCATATAACAATGTTGTTACAGTCTAGAAATTTAACAATGGTGTACTATAATACAAATGTCCCAAATTGTCTGCAAAATTATTCATTGCTGTTCTGTTCTTTGTTTTTATTCAGAATTAAATATACTGTGCAGATTAATTTTATGTCAATTTGATATAGACTAGAGCAGTGGTCCTCAACTTTCCTAATGCTGTCACCTCATGTTGTGGTGACCCCAGCCATAAAATTCCTTCATTGCTACTTTATAATTTGTATGGGAGCCCCTATGAAAGTGTCATTTGACCCACAAGGGGATTGTGACCTACAAATTGAGAACCACTGGACTAGAGTCATCTGAGGAGGGAATCCTGATTAAGAAAATGCCTCCATAGACTGGGCTGTAGGCAAGCCTGTTGAGCATTACCTCAATTAGTGATTGATGTAGGAGGGCCCAGCTCATTGTGGGTGGGGTCATCCCTGCGCTGGTGGTCCTGAGATCCATAAGAAGGCAGGCTGAGCAAGCCATGGGGGGCAAGCCAGTAAGCAGCACTCCTCCATGGCCTCTGTGCATTAGTTCCTGCATCCAGGTTCCTGCCCTGTTTAAATTTCTGTCCACATCTCCTTCAGTGAAGGATTATGGATGTGGAAGTGTAAACCCTTTCTCTCCAACTTGTTTTTGGTCTTGGTGTTTCATTACAACATTTCCACCCTAAGACGCATATACTGTTTAGTTGTCCTGTCCCTTTCATTTCCACTAATCTAGAGTTTATGACACTGACAATTTTAAAAAAATTAAGATTATTTTATTTTATATGTAATGACTGTTTTGTTTGCATGTATGCCTATACACCACATGGGCGCAACACTCCCTGAGGCCATAAAGAGATGTCAGATCCTCTGGAATTGGATCTTCAGATGGTTGTAAGCCATCATATGGATGCTAGGAATTGAACTCAGGTCCTCTAGAAGGGTAGCCAGGGCTCTCAACTGCTGGGTCATCTCTCCAGTCTCAGAGACCCTGACAATTTTTTAAGTGTCTAGGAAGATGTCCCACTACCTAAACGTGTGTAATTATTTTTCATTATAATTAAATGCAAGTTAAATCTTACCTAGACTACAGATAGGGAGGATGTGTTCCTTCATTTTCTACACTGAGAGGCACAGTACAGATGCCAGCCTATACTGGCATTACCATTGCTAGCTCACAAGTGATTAACTCTTTGATTTCCTTGCTTTCCTTGCCTATACCTGGCAGACACAATCTTCATTGCCCAATTCAAATAACATATACATTGAAGGCAATTAGCATCCTTAAAAGTACCCAGACATTTCTGAATGGAAAGGAAACGCTAAGTTTTTTTTTTTTTTTTTTTTTTTTTTTGTTGCTGGGCATGGTTGTACACATCTTTAACCCTAACTAACCCTAACTCTTGGGAGGCAGAGAGAGGAGGGCACCTGTGAGTTGTAGGCCAGCCAAAGCTACACAGAAAAACCCTGTCTTGAAAAACAAATTTATTTATTTAGTGTTTGCTGTCTTCTGACCCTCCCACATGTACACCACAGTATGGCACATGCCCACTCACATAGTAAACATAATTCAACAGTTCCCTTCAAAATACCTCTTTAAAAATAATGGCTACTCCCATTTCTTCTAAACAAGAGGAAGAAGGAAATACCACATTCCTGTACAGAAATTCACTTCAGGGTAGTCTGTATCTATAAGTTCCAAGTCTGGAGCATTTTATAGAATGTAGTTTAGTCTGGACTATTATGCCTGAGAGCTAAGACAGTGACTAATGTAGGGCTATGAATGACTATTCTTCAAAGGCGTGAGGTACCCTCAAGGGTAGAGCAACTACAGAAGCCAAGGCAGGGCAGGAGAAAAGTCCCCTATCGGAGATGTACATACTCAGGGCCATTCCCACTGGGGCACCACCATCTGTCACCCCCACCCGAGTCTAGGATGATATACTATGAGTGAAAAAGGAGATTCTGCAGATGAGAAACCCACTTCTTCTGATTTCAGAATGGTACCATGGTCCTGGATTCTCACTACACATTAAAACTATCTGAGAAGTGTTCTAGAAATAAGGCCAGGATCCCACTGCAAAATGAATAAAATAGAATTTGGGGAAGCTGAGGTGCACTAAGGATTAGAAACCAGGAGCAGGGGGAGGGTAGCTTGCAAACACATGCATGTATCCACTTCAGAGAGCCATAAATCTTATCACTACACCTTAGCTCCAAAGTATCTCAGGAGTGATGATGTCAATCTTGCTAGAACCATACTCTAGAGATAAGTGGAAATGCCATGGCTTTGAGGTTGAACAGATTTAGACCCAAATCTCCATTCTGCAATCATCCTGAGATATAACATGAATATCTCAGTATCTTTGTAATGCTTCCATTAGGATCAAAGTAATGTATGTGAATCAAAAGTACATCAGCATGCACATCCAGGAATTTAACACACAGCTAGACCCTCCTCTCCACTTCCCTAAGATACAGTCCAAGGCTGGCCTCATGGGGATGATGACTAACAGTGTGCTCACCTGCTATGATGGAAAGACTTCAGCTTTGGCTGCAGCAGTACAAACAGCACCACGAGGAGAAGAATGAGTGCCACGGAGCTGGCAGTGGAAGCCACTATGGACAGTGCAGGGACCCCGAGTGACGTGTGTGTTTCTTTGTCTAAGGAAACAAGTTATCACAAACAATTGGTACCCAGAAACATAACACATGGGCTCTGTGGATGATGTAGCCAAATATTCTGCATGGTAATATACAGAAACATTTATTTGACAGCTGGGCCTTTTCAGGAAAATCTTACAAAGTGGCCTATGTATGTATATCTCTGGAAACATTTCCTTTTCCTGTTCCCTGAATAAGATTCCCCCCTTACTCACTCAGTTTAGCTGCTACCTAACTAAACTCACTTAACTCTGGAGTTCTTAAAACACCAATGGCAGGTTGGCAAACATCAACCATTAAAAGGGCCACATCTTTCTACCCTCGAGTTCCACCATGTTCTCCCCACCATACAGCAGGATAATTAAGAAGTGGGTAAATAATAAGGTCCTGTCCTAAGCCCTTCAGCCTTCACTGTAAAACCCCATAATGTTTCCCATCCTCTTCTGAGGTGTTATGGGTAAAGCATGTTCTGGTTTTGAAGCCTAAGTGAGAAGCAGAGAGAGAAGACCATACATAAGACACACATCCTTTAGGCATCTGCATTTTCCTCTCATGCTAGACAAGAAGAGGCAGGAAGAAAAGAGGATTCTTTCTGTACAGCAGGGCTATAGCTCCATAACAAAACCAACACTTTCTATTCAAGGGAAAAACAGAATGGACGAGACACTGGAAAGTGTGTTAGCATTGTGTTCGCTGCTCACTGTGCTAGCAAACAACACAGCTTAAGGCCATCAGCATCTGACTAGGCAAACAGAGATCCTGACATCAAAGGAATTTTACATAGTCAGGCAGATGCCTCAATAAAGACACAGAGCTTCTCAATGGTTCAGTGGAATGCAACGTGACATGCACCAGCAACAACGACATCCACAAAGACATGGAATACTAAAGAAAGAGAGGCCAGAGAGTTTAACACAGCCAAGGGAGCTCTCGAGAAAGCATGCACAATTCCCCAAAAGCTGGGAAAAAAGCAGGACCCAGGCGGCACCCCATTTCACCTATAGACTGACCTTCATTGAGATGACAGCTAACCTCCATGGCTGGCTTCCACTCGCCATCCTTGCAGGTCAGGTATTTGTAGTCGCCCTTCAACATGTAGCCTTCCGCACACAGGTACTCGATGACACTGCCTGCTGTCAAGGGGTCTTTGCAGGGCCGGGGATGGCAAATGTAGCCACCATTTTCTGGCTCTGGAGGCAGAGGACACACTGTAAAGATAGAGGGAGATGGTATCACAATGAGGCTTTCAATGGGCGTGTGCTCTCAGTAGCATGGCCCTGAGATATAAGGGACATAGAACCATCCTTGGAAAAGCCTTTGACAATTTCTCACTTAAAGAGGGAATTTAAAGCTTTGTTCTTAACCATCAGATAATGAACTCATCTGATTTGGCAATACTACTTAATTTTTAAGACAGATAGAAACCCAAATGTCTTTACAGGGGAAAAAAAAAAAAAATCATTCTCCTAGCTGCTGCTTCTACATTCTGTCTCCTACAGATACTTAGACTTCACGTGTTAAATGCCATCTCCTCTGAGACTTTGTCAACAGCAATTAGCACCATAGATTTTGAGTAAAGTAATATCTGAAACTGACTTGTACCATGCCAAATGCATGACAGATATTAATAATTCTTTGTTTACTTTCACATAGCAAAGTAAATCCTCAAGGGAAGGGGCTAACCCATCAGAAGGCAGTGTCTTCAGGGGGAGCTAACACACTGAGCATTCACTGACCACCTAACCAGGCAGTAGGGAGAACACAAATTTGAGAGAAATGACCCAGCTCAAGTTTCCATGTTAGGGTCACCTTAGCCTAACATACTCCTCAAAAACCAAGAGCTCCAAAGTGCTTCTAACTGTCTTGCCTTTGTTGTTTTGGTGCCCAGTCTTTCAGGAAAGAGACAAAAAAAATTTTTGTGGTGCCCAGTCTTTCAGGAAAGAGACAAAACAAATTTTTGTAACAGCTCAAAGAACAAAATAAAACTTCAGGAAAGGCCTTGGAGTAAAGTACAAATACTTGAACCATTTCAAAACAAGTAGGAAGCTACAGAAAGAAGTGGAATGCTACATCCAGTCTCTAAGGGTTACAGGTTATAAGAGCAGGCATACATTCAAATATCTAGTGTATTTTCAAAAGGCTAAGCAAGAGAGGTTTCTGCCTAACAGTCACCAAGAAAATACTATACTATCAAACACAGAAGCCGCTGGGTTAACAAACTGTTGTGTCAAGTGTTCACTCATAGGTCTGAAATTATCAATATGTTAGTATTTGGGATACAAATGAGCACAAAGAAACAGGTGTTTAGGAAACTGGAGGAGCACTGGCTGATCCTCCAGAGATCAGGGTTCCAGTCCTAGCAGCATATAAGGTATCTCACAATCACCTATAACTCCAATTCCAAGGGATCCAACCAATGCCTTCCTATGGCCTCTGCAGATACTGCATGAATTTGATGTACAGATATACATAAAAAATGAAACTTCAAAAAGGGTTTAATTTGAAAGAAGATGGCCAGAGAGATGCTCTCCTGGGGACTGAGGGTGGGGGAGTGGGGAAGATAAAGAGGGTCCCCAGGGCGAAGCACTAATTCTAGAGAGGTGATCATTGGAGCAGGGCTGAGGTAAATACTGCAAATGCCCTACTGAGCTATAATTCCAGAAAACAATTAAAGGTATCTCTTTGCACACGTGTCTTTAGGAGGGCTATAAAGATCCTAACAAGGCAGAGCATAATGCTATGAATAGAGCCTAGGGTCCACGTTCCTTGGCTTCTTAGCAGAATGACTGCCCGCCCCCCATCTCTTTCCTGGCCACCCCAGGTAAAAGCATCATGTGTTCCCACTATGATGTTCTGCCTTGCTATGGGCTCAAGTGACTGTGGACTGAAATGGTGAGCCCTTTCCTCCTCTTAAGTTACTTTCTTCAAGTACTTTGTCACAGTAATCAAAAGTTAACTAACATAGGCCTTGTAAATGCTAATGTTTGGTAAGCAAAGTCTTACTGAATGGAGTCCTTGGTTAAATATTGGAAGATGGGTTTATGAATATAAAAAACAGCAGAAAAATCTATATGATGGCTATGAGACATGGTCTGGTGTGGCGATAACACTCCTATAATTTCAGCATCAGGAGGCTGAAGCAGGAAGCTTATGAGTTCAAGGACAGCTTAAGCTACTCAGTGAGGTGCTTTAAAAAAAAAAAAAAAAAAAAAGCAGTCATGTAAAACTCCTAGCATTTCTAGCATTTCACATAGAGGACCTTTTAAGGTTATTTAGAAGAGGACCATTTATTCACTTGTAAAACTTTCTTGATATGTAAAGGTTCAATTTCTACTTCTAGTTTACTGGTGGTAGAGCCAGAGAAAAGACAAGGAGATTCTGGAAAGTGAATTTGTTCAAATGTGTTGTTTTGTGCAGAAAGCAGCAGTTACTGTACACAGCTGTCTAGGTGCATCAAGCAATTTCCTGAGTTCCTTCTCCATGAAGCATTTTGAATTGAGAAATTTTCCCCACTGCTGAACCATGCATGCCTGTTCAAAGGGAAGGTGAAAAAGCATCTCAGACAAGTTGGAATTAGAGCATTAGGAAGGGAGGGAGGGGGGAGGGAGGGAGGGAGGGAGAGAGAAAAAGAAAAAAAAAATCTGGTGCTGGTCAAAGGTTTCTGCAAAATATCCTTCACAAGTTGAGTCTTAACAGCTCATGCTTACTATTTCACTATTTTAAGCAGTTTATATATGGAACTCCTTTATGTTTACACACACACACACACACACACACACACACACACACACACACACACAGAGCTGAAATACACTCCTAACACATGAGCAAATTAAGGAAGAGAGGTTAAGATACTTATCCGATGCTAGCCAGTAGGCAAGGCTAGTGCAACATATCAGGAGGTCTCAGAGTTCAACTTTTCCTCCAAACCTCAATCTGACATAGGTACCTCAGTGAGGAGTGCAGCAACAAGGACAATCTGGACAATGTAAGCAAACACTGAGGTCATTTCTAGGCCTGTTTTAGCACACGAAGGCACTAAACTAAAGCACATCTAAGGTCACTTCTGACATTGAAAATCTGTCTGAAGTTGACTATGTGGTTAGCATAACCACCTCTTTGAGAGGTTCATTTATAAAACTCCTATAGCTAAGTGGTTTTAAACTGGCCTCAGAGTATGAAGGGCTGGCAGCACCTTGTGTCCACATAAGAAAGAGCTCCTTCAATGGAGCAGGTTCTTGCCACAGGCTTGCTGTGGGAGCCAGAAAAGAGAAATCTCACAACTTAGAAGACACCCAGGGCTCTTCCGGCCTTCTGCATTACTACTGACCACCACTTGAGCAGTCAAAAGTCCAAAACAGGATAGTGAGGGGGAATCAAGATGATTTCTCACGCCATTTGCAACCTTCTCATATAAAACAAATCTTCCCAGCAGTCAGACAGGAAGCCCATTGTCCAGCCAGAATCTCTTTTCTTAGAGAGCTTCCCACACTCTGGGGTTAGGGCCTCAGTCTGTCATAGCTCAAGCCTTTCTCAGGGTCTGGAACCATGCTGGGGGTTGGAGATGACTGGAAGGAACCACACAGACCTAGGCTGTCTCCCTGCAGCCCTTCTCAGTCCCCATCGTCTTCCCAAGGAAGGCCTAGCTTCAAGCCTTGCTCTGGGACATCAGCAACTGGCAGACAAGTCGAGCTGAGACTCTCCTTGTTTTAGGACTGGACTCTTCCCCCTCCTTCCTTCCCTCTCTTTCATAAGCAGCAGTCTCAGAAGGAGTAAAAGTATTTTCTTTTGTTGTCTAAACATGGCAACTCATTACCCAGAGAGATACAAAAAACCCTTAGTCACTCAAAATAAAGTGTTGTTCTCCTTGGTTAAGGATCCTGAACTTAAAGCACAAACACCCACTTTTATGCTTCAGGGTTCCAAGGCTGTAGCTCCTGAACACCTCTCCAGATAGCACAGGTTAGAATTTTTCAGTGTGGGTCCAGAAATAAATGCCTACATTGTTTGTTGCCTTCCAAAGTTACCCACTGCAGCCTTAGGAAGATCTATTCCTCAGTTTCCTAATCTAAAGTAGGGGGAAACAAAGGTTGTTGTGAAGATTAATCCCAATTCTACAGGACAAGGGCCTGGGACAGGGTCTGTTACATACTAAGTGTTCAGTAAGCAGACCTTTATTATTTCCTCTTGATTATTTTTCCATAGGTCACCCTTTTCTCCACTAAGTGCCACCACACATCTGTCTACACTATAGGAAAGGAATTTGTTTTGCTCATGTTTGGTCCCCAGTGCTTCATGAATAATCTGACCGATAGTAAATACTTTGTAGAAAATGGTATGGAGCTTGCAAAAGCCTGTCCACAGCAAACCCTGTCTTGTGTCTAACTAGAATGGGCCACATAAAAGAGAATCTCTCTGCAAGTAAATCTATAAATTGGCATCTAGCTAATCATAAAAATATACTGTCTCCCTAACAGGAACAGGCCAGAAGGGATCAGAGCATGGTCTTAGGTATCAAAGAGATGAATCTGAGTTTGACCCAAGGATCCACTCTAGCCTGTCAACTTCTCTGTCTTCCTCCGAGCCTTACTTAATAGCAATATCTAGTTCTACCAGTGTGATGGGCCGCTTAATAAAAACAATGTTCATGAAAATGCTTTTGCCATGCTGTACATATAATAGGCCCTAACACATTTTCACATTTACTTCACAGTGTAAATCAAACCCCGTATTTCTGACTTTTGAATGGGGCAGGACAAAGACTTCACAAACAAGAAAAGGACTACTTCAGAATTTCCGGGTGTTTAGAGGGTAGGCAGAGGACAGCAGCGTGGAGCACTGTGAGAGCCCCTTCTTTGCTCTCTTTGCACCATCTCAGCAGTGAGCCAGCCCTCTTGACATTTCCCCTTTTGGGCTGCAGAGCTCAGGCTGCCCTTGGCTGTGAATGGCCTCCATGTGGTCTGTTACCCTTTCACCTCTTCTTGTTTTCACAGCTCAGGAGGGGAGAACAGGCTGGCAGCTGGGCTGGGTCCTTTCCCCTTCCCATTGTTATGATTGCTAGAAGGGACGGGCAGGAGGGCATTCTCCTTTATCCTGCTACTCCAGGTCCAGGCCACCACTCTAGCCAGCTACCACTGCTAACCACCAGTCTCCTAGTTCAGTGAGCTGGAGAGCACAGCTCACAGCTGTCCTGTACACCCAGGACAGG